ATTTTTTTTACAAATAATAGTTTCTAATAATAATTGTTAATTGTATTGGAACTTTTGAAACTTTTATATACAGGGTTTTATATATTTTATAGTCTAGAAAGACTAAAACTGACCAGAAAACAAATAACAACTAGAATAAACACCAACACGCTAAAAGAAAGATCCAGTGAATATGAATAGCTGCTAGAGAACAAACTGGCAGACTGCCTGAAGAAGAACCAAAGTCACCACACCAACAACACCAACCCGCTAAAAGAAAGATCCAGTGAATATGAATAGCTGCTAGAGAACAGACTGGCAGACTGCCTGAAGAAGAAACAAACGCACAACAGCTCATATGCAAAAGTGTGTAAACTGTTCACTATTCTATACTGAAAATGATAACGATCTACAGCGCTTATTACATCGATTTAATTGCACTGCCAAATTACTTAATATGATAATATCGACCCAGAAAACTAAATGCATGACGACATTAAAAGTACCACTAGGATGCAAACTGGAAGTCGAGGGCAATGTTATCCAGCAAGAGATGAAGTTTAAGTATCTATGCATAGAAATCTCATATATGGTGATGTAGAAGCGGACGTGCGAGAACGGACAACGAAGGCAACCAGAATAGCAGGGTGCCTGAATGATATAATATGGCGAAATAAAAACATTGAGGTGGAAACTAAAGCGAGAATTTACAAGGCAACGGTACGACCAATAATGTCAAACACTGCAGAAACTCGACCTGATACAGCGAAAACTAAACAACTACTAGAGACAACCGAAATGAGAGTACTACGCAGAATAGCTGGAAAGACGCTTCTGGACAGGGAGAGAAATGAAAGCATAAGAAGAGCGTGCAAGGTGGAAAATGTAAATTAGTGGGTACTCAGCAGAAAGGAAGAATGAAACGACCATATCAGCAGAATGGACAACAGAAGGATAGTGAGAGTTGCACGCGACAAATTACCGCTAGGTCGCAGAAGCTTAGGACGTCCACGAAAACGATGAAGCGGCAACTTGTCAGTCTGACCGGTAAAGACGACGAAACCAAACAGGCGATTCGCCTAGTATGAAGAAGGAAGTAGAAGAAGAAAACGAAATAATAAGCAAGATTGAGCGGAAGTTCTGACTACGATAGGTTTGACTCCCCATTCACTGTTGGTCAAATTCCTTATTAGGGAACTTCATGCTTGTACCTTCTACTATGCTTGTACTTTTTTGCGTGTTTTTTCGCAGTGATATTTGTATGTTAATGTTCTGCCCAGCACGACATAATTTAGTAGGTAGGCTATGTGAGCGACGGTGTACACGGTCCCACCCTGCAAATTTGGATACGACGTTTCGTTTACATCTTAATCAGGGTGGGACTAAGGACTTTATATTGAAAAAAAAAATGCGGGTTGATTTCGGCATAATTGGGTACGGGTTACAGGATGACCGCCTCAACGTTTCGAACCGATGGCTCTAAATGGACGAAATCATCAGTATTTATCTTATTATACCGAGTGCGTCTCAAAAGTGGTTCACCTCTATAACTTTTTTATTTTTTCTGATAAATAAACGAGATTTGGTATGTTAGTATATGACATAAATTGAACTTCCTGTCCACTTCCTGTTTTACCGTTTCGGTATTTTTACTTTATTCGATAGAAAATGACACTCTGAATAAAATATCATATGTCAACTTTTCACATTTACTTTTTTAAATAAAATTGTATTTTAAATTTCAATGTGCCAAGCCTATGTTAAAACACTAATTTTTAATCAAGAAGCCTTGGAAAAATATATTTGATCGTCTAATATTTTTAGTGTCTTGTTCTGGCCGGTTAAAAGATGCCCAAATCTTATTTTTAATCATATCTCAATTTTTTCAAATGGCACGAGATTGACTCATTAGCATATTTGGAAAAAGCATTTTTTTAACAATAATTTGGTACCACATACTTGGTATTTCGAGTTAAAGTGTCGTTATAAATAGCATGTTGCAAATTCAATCTTTCTTGCATGTTGCAATTTCAAATAAACCATATTCGAAAATGTCAAAAGTTGACATATGATATGTTACTCTAATCGGACTGCCATTTTCTATCGAACAAAGTAAAAAATACCGAGGGTGTCATTTAAAACTCAAAAATTGTAGTCATTTCCGGTGACAACTGAATACTCATTCCCCTCACTCCCCTATTTTTTATCTGAAAAAATAAAAAAGTTATAGGGGTGAGCCACTTTTGAGATGCACCGTATATATTATGAGTGGATTGGAACCAACCTCCGCACGTGGATAGATGTACCCGAATGGAGTCCTCAGACGGTCATTTTAATACACATTTTTTGAAAGCGAATCAAATTATTTATTAATTTTTAGTTTATTACTTTTTCAACATTTCAGTCTACACTTTTTCAAACATGTCCTTCAAATCCTTTAGTTTCATAGCTGTTGGTAAGAAGTTTCTCTTCAAATATGCGCTGATAATGCACAAACAATTTTTTTAATATGTCAAAAGTAGGATATTCGGCAATAAGGAAAGTATACGCAGATACAAAAAATATAATTATTTCCAAATTTTTGTTTTCAATAACTGGTAGGAATTATTTCCGAAAATATAATTATGCAGTTATATTAATTACTTTTCCAAATAAGCACACAACCACACCAAACTCGTTAAAGTCAACAAGATACGCGTAATATTTCGTTACGAGTTGATGTGTAGTTATTCCGTAACATATTATTTTGTAATAACATTGCTAAAGATATTTTCCCCACGCCTACATCGTTATATTCGATTTCGATCGACCACAGTCATTAATTTTGACGTGAAAAACCGTATCGAATTTTCCTAACTGTTCTCCGTCGTTTTCTATTCCTTCCAGACACTGTGCCGCTTCCAAAGTGACTATGTGACCTCAATATCGTTTAAGAGTCCGTTCACGCACACGATATAGCTATAATATTTGAATTGAACAACCAATGTTGAATTTAATCTTTGGTATAAAAATTACGTTAGTAAAATCATATCAGATACTTTATTTACATAGGTAAGTACTTATGTAAATATGCTGATGATCAGAATTAATAAACTTTAAAGATAAATACCAAAAAAAAAAGATAAAGATCAATAAAAAAACTGAAGTTTATTTATTGATCAGTTATTGTGTTGCAATAATAAAAATAATACTACCTTATACAAAGTGTCTCAAAATTTATTTTAAATAATTATTAGCTTCAAGCGGCAATAACTTCTTTAATTTAAATGGAATGCCCTGTATATTTTAGGAGAATCAGATGTACAATTTAATTGTCTATCAAATTGTATTATACCGTTTTTTACCTATCCCTTCAAGTTTTCGTAGAAAATGCATTTTCTTATAATTTAGACCTCATTTATCAATATATCTATGGAATATTGACATTTTAGATTATTTTTAAAGCAACAAATGTACAAAATGTACAGGCTAGTAATATTATCGTTTTTAGCAAAACGATAATATTACTAGCCCATTTGTATGCAAAAAGAAAACTATTTAAATCTTTATTAAAGAGTATACCATGAATTAAATATAACACCATTATTTCCGCCCATATACTAATTAAACATACTTAATTGTGTTCGTTAATAAACTATTATAAATAAATGTGGATTTGAGTCAGAAATCAATATAATAATAAGTTATCAAAATTAAAGTCTCTGTTGTTATAAAGAAGCATTTATTAAAAAATAAAATATCATTTTTAAGGTTTTACTTTTTATCACACTGTCTAATACCCATGCAAAATTCAGTTTTTTAGTATTTGGAGCAATTATTATTAATCAACGCAAACAGTCAGTTAATGTAGTTTGAATACTGGAATCATATTAATTGGTCCTCTTTAACAAATATTTAAACAGTTTTTTTTTTTTTTTAATGAAATAAACGAATTTATATCGACAATATTAGTATCTGTACTCTTTGGTCCTTTGGTACATCTTTAAAACAGTTTCTAAAATGTCAATATTCCATGGAATATATGATAAATAAGTTCTAAATTTTAAAAAAATGCATTTTCTACGGAAACTTCTAAGATAGGTAAAAATTGGTATGGGTATAATTTGATAGACAATTAAATTTACAATCTGAGTCTCATTTTCTACGTACAGGGTGTTCCATTTAAATTAAACAAGTTATTGCCGTTTGAAGCTAATAATTATTTAAAATAAATTTTTAGACACTCTGTATAAGGTAGTATTATTTTTATTATTTCAACACAATAACTGATCAATAAATAAACTTCAGTAAATATTTAGTATTAAAAACTTTGATACCCTTGGAGAAATGAAGCCTTAAAATTTTTACTGCAATTTCACAAAATTGAAAATATTTCAGAAACGGTAAGGTTTAAGTATAATAAACTTTAATCAAATTTACCTTTATTTTAATAGTAGAAACCAAAAATGTAATAATATACAGAGTGTTCCATTTAAAAAAATACAACTTTGATATTTTTTACTTATTTGGGACACTCTGTATCTTGTAAAATTATTTTTAAATTGTACCTCTAATAGTCCTTCATCGAACCCAAAACTTACAATTTGTAAAAATCTCATCGTTTAGCTACAATACTCCGTGTCGTATGTGGTGAACAACCCTGTATATTATATTAGTTAGTTTATCATGTTGTTTAGTTTTAATTTTGGTCTCAAGTAGTGTTGTGCTAAAGAGTAGTAATCTTTACAGTAGTTGGGGTTTGGTACCTTTGGTATTACAACAGCAAATTAAATCTCTAATTCACTACTCTAAATTTATTACAGTTTTTAATATTCTCTTAGATGATATTCTAAAGAGAACAATTTCTAAGAATCATCGTGGAATATGGTGGACTCCCTTTAGCATGTTAGAAGATCTCAGTTATGCAGATGACTTCTGTCTCCTTTCATCATAGTCACGCGGATATGGCATCAAAACAACTTGACTTAAAAAATGAAGCTTGAATTGCAGGTCTTAAGATCAATATTAAAAAAACTAAATCAATGAGAGTTTGTACCAACAATGTCGCTCCCTTTATCATTGGGACAACCCCTATAGAGGAGGTAAATAATTTTACTTACTTGAGTAGTTTAATCTCAATCAACGGAGGCGCAGAGCAAAATATCATAAATAGAATAAACAAGGCCAGAATAACATTTGGAATGCTCAACTATATTGGGAGGTCTAGACAGCACTCTCAACTTACTAAACTTATAAATTTCAATTCAAATGTCAAACCAGTATTGTTGTATGGTACAGAGACCTGGAAAATTACATTGCCATTACTTAACAAACTTCAAGTATTCATAAACCGCTGTCTGCAAAAAATTGTAGGAATATTCTGGCTAAACTCTATCAGAAATGAGGATTTATGGAACTTAACCAACCAGAGGCAGGTGTATAAGGAGATCAAACTGAGGAAATGGAGGTGGATTGGACACACATTAAGGCAAAGCGGCAACAACATCGGTGGCAGAGCTATTGAGTGGAATCTACAAGGATTAGAAGAACTGGTCGTCCAAAACATACATGGTAAAGGACAATTAAGAAGGAGATCGAAGCAGTAAACCGATCATGGCGAGATGTCAAATCAATGGCAAACAACCGAACCCGCTGGAGAGCGTTTATTGAAGCCCTATGTTCCACGTAGGGTTAAAGGACAAAATAAAATTGATTACAGTTGGGGCCTGGAACCTTTGGTGTTACAACATCAAAATAAAATACTAATTCACCACAATACACCAAATCAGCAGATGATTAAAACTAAACTAATACCTACAAATGGAGCGTTTATATCGGCGCTCAGTTGGCACTGACTAGCTGGGGTCACACTAGCCAAGCAAGTTAAAACCAATAGAACACACCGTAACAGTTAATTACCGACAATAGAGAAATAAGAGCAGCTAACTGGAAGGAATTAGAAAATTGTCTTTGTTCATACTATTTTTACATTTATTAATTTTGATCTAATGAAATTTTACTTCTTCTTTATGTACCTTGTCCTCGAAGAAGGTTGCCACCATCAATGATATTTGTAGGTATGTTATTCAAGGCTTTTTGAAAATTTACCTTTATATATAATTATGTTAACTATCTCTAGGATTTTTATTTTCTTTGTATTAACACAAAATTGACACATTATTTTGATTTTTGTCGTGATTTTTTTAAAAATCAGAACTAGAATAAATAGGAGTAGATTGGTATATCGTTAAATTAATTGTTCCAACCAAATTTTATAAACTGTACATAACTAACTATACGCAAAATTGTAACGGACTTATACAGAAATTGGTTCATGACGAAAATAAGCCCATTCTTAGAGCTTACGTTAAAATATTTTCTGACATTAATTTATCTAATAATAATAATAATAACGTTTATTAAACATTTTCTCTTGAAATTAAAACAGATACAAAATAGTACAGTACAATACAACATAATATTGTTAGATTCTATTTGTAATATTTGAATCTGGCGCTCTTTTTAATTATCTGGTTGTTCACGCATGTGCGCCAAGAAGGCGGGACGTGAACGACAGGGAAGGGATAGCGTCGCCGCGGCAGTCACTGCTTGACATTAACCACGAATTCAAAAGAATTTAACATCAGGTGTGGGGTAATAAACCCGGGTGCTTTTCGTGTGCCTGTGAATTTTGTGTGACTTTATGCTAATTAAATTAGCAATGGCCAAGCATGCTACAATCGAATCTGCCCATCTTCAACGGCGGGCATTGGAAACTCCGCCTATACGAGTGGTTTGTAAAAATAAATTGGTATGAAAGTGAATTTCGTTGGTCTGATCGGGAAACTGTAAGTAGAATTGGCCCCTTTTTACTTAAATATGCTAAACGATGGTTTACTGCATGGAAACCCACTCACGAAAAATGGAAAAATTTTAAAACAAATTTTTCAGCTGTTTTTCAAAAAAAAAAAAAATTCTGGGTAAGCTCATGATCGATGTATCTAACTTTCAAAATTGCCGTGCTCATTGTAACATTGAGTAAGCACGCATAAAACTTGAGAAATTAAAATTGCTCTCTTGTTGTTTCAGAAAATATTAAGAAAAGGTTTAGACAATTTAAAAAGTGATATTAATAACATCAAAGTACGAAGTTAATACTGTGAAAGTTCTTTTGGAAACCAAGCTAATGATACAGGTTTTAGGACTGAATTTTAGATCTATAGCTCCGTAGTTTTAGTAGAGTTTTGTAGTTTTATATGCCATATTCAAACCAAACTTACAATCATCAATAAATGTAATAGGTTCTGACAATGCGAAAAACATGTAATGGTAGCTATAGGGCTATTGGTACTCGACTTAGCAGTGTATTTTATGGTGCAGACAATTATTAAGTTAAAACAGAAAAAAAAATAAGAAAAAAAAATACAGATTTAAGTGTTCAGCTAAAATAATGTACAGAATTTTTAAGATGTCGAATATATAGCATAAATTGGATTTATTTTAAATAACGACAGATACCACATTTCCATTTCGCGTGGTTTTAACCATTTTTTAACTATAAAAAAAACATATCCCCGATATTTTTTCTGGTATCGATTGTATTACAAAACTAATTAAAAGTTATGATAAATTTATTTGTACTAAAGATTGAAGAAAAGTACCAAGAAAGGCTGGGCATTTGATAAAGCGAAGCCAATAAGTCGATTCCAGAGCTATCGAATTTCAGTTCTCAGAAACTTATCAGTTAAATGTTGTTCCATATTTTTCTCAACGCAAGTCTAATGAAGTGTCTAAATATCAATCATGAGACCTTGGCGACTGTTTATAACTCGGTGCTTTGTCAGTATTTTAGGAAGTCAGATATTTTTTTTTACTCTTTTCTTTTGTGTAGCGATTTCAAGCTTATGAGTATTGATGAGTTAACAATTTTAGTATTGAATACCAAAATGGTGTTATTTTTCAACGGGGCCGACTATTCCAGATGAAGTCGAATTGAAAATGTTTGCCAACATGGCCACAGAAACTTAAGATAATTTTTGTTAAAATAATATTATTTATAAAAAAAATGTGGCCAACTTCTTTTTATATAAAAGCTTTTGTGTCGAAGTCGAAAGGCAGCCGTTTTGATTTATTAAGATTGTTTTCCGACAAGCAGTGTTACGTTACAACTGAAAAAAAGATCTTTTGTGAACTAAACCATTATTTTTATTTTAACTCACGGATCAATTTGTTAAGAAGTATTATGATGAATGCTTAAAATGTATTGTTACTAAAAACATACAGTGTAGGTACCTTTTTAAGTACCGCATGACAGGAGAGTTTCGAATTTTTATTACTCCTAATCGACGGCTTTTGTAAAAAGGCGGTATCACAGGAAGTTTAGAAAAAGTACATGTTATAGGAGGTATTCATTTCACCGATAAATAACTATAAGTACTATAAAAAAAACACGAGAATAAATAACGGTGTTCGAGATATTGAAACGCTGACTAAATCTACGAGTATTACTTGACGTTCCGAAAAATGTGTAAAAATATTGAAAACTACGAACGTAGTAGAAAGCAACCTGTTTATGTAAAAGAAAGGATTAATTGAATTATCAGTATTTGTGACTATCTCTCCGGACGTAACCATTAGCAAAACTTAAAAAAAAAAGTATTTTCGATTTTTTTTGAGGTTGTAGAAATTATTGCAAGAAATTTGATGATGATCCAGCGAACTCTCCGTAAAATAACGCTTTGCAACCTGTTGATTTTGTTGAAAGTCAGTTTCTTTGTAAAATAACGCTTGACACCGCCATGATTTTCAATCGAGCGGTACATTACGAACAATAACAAATTTGCTAAGAATAAGTTGAAGAAATCGTCAGTTTGGCCGAACAAACTTTTGTAGTACATTATGTCATTAAACAACTATTGGCTAATGAGCGATATTCAATCCGGAAGTTGGGCGCGCAAACAAACCTTTAGTGTTCTAAGGACCAGTTGCGTTACTGGCCATCTGATTAGACTCCTGAAGACTTTCAGAATCTAGTAGAACTAAACAGTTGTAAGTTGTAAGTTGGGCTGAATAAAAAAAAATAGGGAAATCAGACTATTTTTGTTTTTTTTTTATTTAGTTTAATTTTATAACATTCTGGGCCGTGTTAGATTGAAAAGTAAATAATTAGCTGACCCATCGTAAATATGTGCTTCTGGCAATATTTCCATCGTGTCAGTCTAAATCTAAATGTAAATTATTTTTGTTAAGTTCATTACTGGCAAATAACCCATCGCAAATACATATGTACATGTCATACTATTTCCATCGTGTTATCCAGTAATTTTAAACTGACCCATCGTAAATATGTGCCTCGTGCAATATTTCCATCGTGTCAGTCGAGAAACTTTGTAATTTTAAACTGACCCATCGTAAATATGTGCCTCGTGCAATATTTCCATCGTGTCAGTCGAGAAACTTTGTGATTTTAAACTGACCCATCGTAAATATGTGCCTTGTACAATATTTCCATCGTGTCAGTAGAGAAACTCTGTGATTTTAAAATAGCCCATCGTGAATACGTGCCTACTGAGTACATATTCCCATTGTGGCATTCAATGAATTGTTATCAATAGAAGTAAACTGATATTGACGTCAGAGTAGTCTGACTCTTGTCTGACTAACGTCCTTCCTGTCTTTATTTCAGCAACTGGCATGGAGATAGTCGAGTGTGCTGAATCTCAACCCAAAATCTTTGAAATGTAACGAAGTTTACTTTTGAATGTTTTTTTGCATAATCTTAACGCATATGTAAAAATACAAAATTAAAGTTTTGTTGTCAAATATGTCATAGGTCTCTTATTTTTTTCTGTTTTGGAACTTGTACATTCCGAGAGCGGAATGATGTCAGTTTGGCCGTGTTAGATTCTATTTGTAATATTTGAATCTGGCGCTCTTTTTAATTATCTGGTTGTTCACGCATGTGCGCCAAGAAGGCGGGACGTGAACGACAGGGAAGGGATAGCGTCGCCGCGGCAGTCACTGCTTGACATTAACCACGAATTCAAAAGAATTTAACAATATGCTACTATATCTAATACACATTATCTAAGTACAATTTAACTAAGACTATATTTAAATTTTAAGAATCAAAATAAACGTTAAAAGAATTACCACAAAGTAATAGAATTACTTGTATGTGGAAAGGAATACAATTTAATTATGACAATACATAATGTTCACTGGCACTTATGAAAATTTATTTTGTATATTTTAAGTTAACTAGGTCATTAAATATATCTCTACCTCGATCAACCATCCATTTGCATCAGTGGCGTCTCCAGGATTCATGCCTGGGGGGGTCAATAACTTAATATTATACCTAAATATATATTTTTTTACATTAACAAGTAAGTACTTACCTAATTACAGCTAGGTACTATGGTAAATAGTAGGAATAAATAAATAAAAAATATGTTTCTTAGGAAAATGGTTTAATAAGTAAAATTACATCACAAAACAACAAAAAATAATCATTAACACAAAAATTAAAGAAACAAATAACAAAAGAAGAAGAAACAAACAAAAGGCCAAGTGAATAAAGAAAAAGCACAGATACAAATAAAAT